GAGCAGAATTGCACAGTAAAGATAAAGAAAAGTGTAAATGCATTAGATAAGAAGCAGATACAGACATAAAGAACGTTTTTCTCTCGGTCAGTCTAACTAAACTTTGAATGTTTTGTAGTTGTGATTCTTTTATAAACTACTTGCACGTTAGTTTGTAAGATCAATAAAGAATTAGTAGCGTATTTTTTTTAAAACCAGAACGTCATTTCCCTTTATCTGTAGAGGATGTGAATAAGCGGCGAAATATTCTCAAAATCCAGCAAAAGATATTTTTTAATCGAATGTGAACAAAAGTGTTTCTCATTGTTTCATTTATGCCTCTTAGTTCTACACACACGCAACGCACATACATTTAGATATACTCAAATTATTAGCCGCATCATGTTTAAATGGGTCGGAAGGCTAATGTTTTTTTTTTAAAGAGTAGTTCAAAGCTTGAAAACTTTCAAAAGTGAAAATAAATTAGCAAAATTATTTGGCAGGTACTACCGAACAGTTCATTGGAGATTCTGGACGACTTCAGTTCAGTTCTAATAAGTCGTTAAACATGAGACCGATCATTTAAAATACAGTAATAAGGAACTTGGAATGAAATAGAAAACTAAATACACGAGAACTGATTTTCCAGCCATTCGTTTCAGCGACAAATGACATGTTACTATTGATGAGTCAGATGTATGGAGTAAATACTGAATCACCATTCGCAGAAAAACAGTTTGAGGTTTAAAGAAGACAGTATTTTAGTGTAGGATTATATAGGTAGTGAGTTGGTGGACCCATGGCGACTACCAGAGACTGCTAAGATGAATGCTCAGACATAGATTGATATTTTGAAGAGACATGGAGTGCCATGTTTGAAGAGATAGCCAAACGCTTGCAGAACGACTTCTAAAACTCGTTTGAGAACGTGGAACATACATTTCGCATTAGTTTTGTTTTCGTAGCTTTGTCGTCTGATATTATTTTAAATTTTTTGTTCAAAGCATTTGTTTACTTTGCGCCCATTCTCGAATTATAATTTTTAATTGACACATAATGTTTCTTGGGGTTTAATTCCGTAATTTGGCTAATAATGTGCACCTTGGAAAATCTGGCAAATTCCGGTGAAAACTGTTTCCATTTCGTAAGAGTGGATTTATACATATTATGTGTAATATCCTGCATATTTTAGTGGAAATATTTCCGTGAATTTATTTATTTATTTTCTACAAATTAGGAGTTGCTCATAATATGCGACGCAGTATACAAAGAAAGCCGGATAGATAATAATTGAGCTGGAAGAAAGAAAAAAAAACGATGGTTGGAAATAATTATAAGAGAAAAAGAACATTTTCAGATATGAGCTAACGGAAAAAGATATAGAGAAGGCTTCTTTGTTCAATGCACACATAATGAGTCGATTTTGAAAGTGTTATCGGTGAAGACAAACAAGTCAAAGTTAACGTTTCCAGTTCTTAGCTTAAAATAACTGATGTTGACTATATGCAATTAATATCAATTCCAAAGCAGAATGTAGAGATTTGTAATCACACAGACACATTCACTCACAAAATTATTGCCATTTGCACTCATAAACAATTGCATATTAAATTTTATGTACCAAATTTATTGAAAAATATCCCTGAAGTTTATGAATTTTTTTCAGTAATTTCTTGCAATCTCCTGTCCAGTTTGTGAATAGATGTAACAACTTTTTGCTGCTACTGGTTGAACGAGGTATGGAAGTGTGGTTTAGCTATGTAAGTACTCTCCATCATATGGTGGAATTACAATGAAGTGACAAGAAGCGTTAGTTGAAATTCACATTCCGTTCGCCGATCCGGTGGGAATAACCATTACTTCACTTCGCTCTTATTAAAAGGACGAAAACAGGTATGAATAGAAGAAGGCAATGAAAACAAAATCATAAGACTTATAAAGATATATAGATATGCTGGAAGGACCAGGATGAACTCATTGACAGGTTGAGTAATTTGAATTCTTTTTTATAATATTGTGACAAACACATAGCTACACACAACTATGGTTGTATCATGAAATAAATGAAATAAAAACAAACAAACTATGCATGCTTTAATTATAGCAGTGATAATATCAAATCATCGAAAATTTCCTCATCCCCGTGCTCGAAGCGACTCAATCCTTGTTCTCACGGGTACATTTAGTTCATCTGTAGGGAAAGAACATATCTCGATGAGATATTTCATTTAGCTCATCTGTAGGGAGGTAAATTCTTTTAATAGAAAATGTTCATTTTCGAACAGTTATCACCAATCTGATATCGGATATACAACAAAGAGCATTTTCAAAGTTTAATTAAATGATACCTACAACTAACTGGGATGGAATCTGATTGTTAGAAAAAGTGCGCGTAATCAGAATGGCGACAACAGCAATAACAGCAACAACAACGGCAGACAACTGCAGATTCAGAATGAAAGGAAATTCCTTATTCGACATCTAATAAACTAAACTAAAGATATTAGATAAGGATTTAAAATAACAGTTCCTCTGAATCCAAGCATTGTTTCCGAGAAATTTCAATTTCAGGCTCCGTGAATTATACATGCTTACCGCTTGTCGACGAAGATTTCGCAATAACAGCTTATTATACGCTACACAAAGCGTGACACCATTTGAAATTTAAACATTCTGGAATTTTTGTTGTTTTTCTTTTGTAATAAATGTTTGATAAAAGTTTTGTGACAAAACCTTAAGAAAATAATATATTTGAAGATTAAAGTGACAGAAACATGTAAATAGTTCAGTTTATTTAAAATTCATTATAAAATTACTTTTCATTTTCTGATTTATACCCTAACAAAAAGAAAATTGTGAAAATAGATTGGAAAACAGGTTGCAGTAAAAAAAATCATGATCATCTTTGAGAGTCAAATAGCATATTTTCAAATTTGCTGTAAGATAAAATCATGCTTTACTAAGATTCACAAATATAATTTAATTGATCTCTTTTTTCTCTAAAAAATCAAATTGGTTTTTCCTTGCATTAACTGCTATAAATATAACGTTTTTAAATAAATAGAGGCATCAGAAGAAATTACATTTTTTTTAAAAATTACTAATTCTATTTATTTTTGTTTTTATTAATTATTCTGTCAAAGTTAAAATAAATTATTTATGGATAGATTTTATATTTAAAGTTACATCCTACATACTGGGTAGGTGAGGATCATTACGTCAGACAATTTTCTAATCGTTTAATGTTTTATGAATAAAATAATAACCTAAATATACACGTATCAATGAAGTTCGAGGGGAAATCTCATCGTCAATTCAAATCACGGCCACCTTAATTTTTCAGTCTCTTGTACCTATAAAGTTTGTGATGCCCATATGCAACTAAGGCTTTTTAAAAGCCGACGTGAGAAAGTCTGTTAAATATAATGTTTACGTCAAAAAGCACGTGTATACTTATAAAGCTTAGTATTTCATTGTTATCTTTTGGATCACAGCCAGTCAATATGGCGTTTTTGGCAATTTGCTACGCATCTGTCTGACTAACTGTTTTATACGGAACTGTGTGTAAGGCTCTCATATGGTTATCTGAAATGGTAGATTAGTTCCCTTACCCCGCGGCTAATTGAGCGTTTACATTACCACAACCCGAAACACTAATGTATGTGCTCCCTAGCGTTCTGAATTGCTTATCAGATAATAATAATAATAATAATAATAATAATACAAGAACAAAGAAAGCAATCCCACCATACACTGTTTCAACAGAATAACAGTTTAAGATGGATAGTGTTCTTTTGCAGTCATTTTACAATAGAGTTCTTTTTGGGGAGGTGACAAAAGGATAGTCTTAGTCTCCATATACCCCTTTTTCGCTGATGTAAATATCAATATATTCTCATTCATCTATGTGCTTACAGATGACAGGTGTCTTGAAAATTATGACAGCAAATGGCTCATGTTTAGTAGTAACAATCAATTCTTTATTTAGTACCTATTCTTATCCTTCCTCTTCTTCTTCTTCTTCTTCTTCTTCTTCTATATGTCGTGTCCATTCAGTACATTGGTGATCATAGTTCTCCACAATTTCCTGTCTTTTGTAGCTATTAATAAATTTTGTCTTTTTGTTACCTCTTCTAAACACTGTTCCGCCATTAATTTACTCAAGATCGTTATGTAGGTTATGCGTTGATTTCCTCTGTTCCTCTTGCTTACAATCTGTTCTGCGAGTATCAAATTTTCCAAGCCCTCTTTCCTCATTATGTTACTTAGGAATTTCAACTGGTGTTAAGTATAAGTGTACTTTTTGTTTTCATTAATCTCTAGAACTTCGTCGTTGCTCATATATTTGGCCCATGGTATTCTCATCATCCTTCTGTAGAACCATATTTCTGTTGCTACAAGTCACTTCTCCATCTGTGAGGAGATTATCCATTGGCATATAGGAGGATTGATATTACATAACAGTTCAGTAATTTTTTCTTTGTTTCTAACGAAATTTTTCTGTTTCTTAATACTGTTGTTTATAAGATTAACAATTGGGGAAAGGTTTTGAGTTTTCCAGGTTTTATGTCGTTTTTAAAATGTTTGCCATCTTTTAATCTTGCCGAATATTTCTGAATACAGATTTCTCAGTAATCTACAGAGAGATCAAAATAAAAAAAATAAGTTATTAACCCAAAGTATAATAAGCAATAATATAGATATTGATTATTTGAATAGCAATGGGTGAAAATTGTTTACTTGAAGTAAATAAACAAAAAAATAAAAAAAGTAAAAATAAATAAATAAATAATAAAAAAATACGAAAATCAAGAAACACAAAGGAACTTTCAAAATAAAAATTTCGACACTTAAGATTATTTTGGGTAAAAAGATTTTATGTCATTTTTTTTAACAATTAAGAATGATTTGTGCGAACGTTGCCACATTAAAGACTACGTAGTCGAATCATATGCATATTAAATGAAATCATTTAATTGATGTTTATTTTAAATTCAGAATAATGAAAGAAAGAAACTCACCTCAAATAGAAAAGGGTGTGGTTTAGAGAAGACCTCCGATATCGGTATCACAGCTCCCATGACTATGAGTAACAGGCCATAAATTCCACTTAGATTAGCCATAATACTGTCGCTGAAAGGCAAAAGGTAGAATAAACATGAAACTTACCTTTTTGAAAACACAGACACACATATAAACACGAGTAAAAAAAAAAAAAAATAGAGTATATACAAATCCAGATGGCATAATAAAATAGAGATGCGTACGAGCAGCTGTCCATTTTTTTTTTTTACATAGTAAGAAGCACTGGTATATAATCTTTCCCAATATAACCTTCTCCCCAAATGTGATAAACATTTGGGAAAAGAAAATTTGATTACAGCTCAGTGTAAAGGAGTGGAATTGATTATTTCCACGAAAACCAATTTATGTCTTGAATACTTTGCATTGCATATGACTTTGTTGCGTTTTCATATAAAATTTTATTTTAGTCAATTTATGCCTTGCGGGGACTGTTGTTAGAATTAGTCAAATGTGCAGATTGCGAATGGATTCAGGTTCTAACCATTAATGTACAGTGAGTAGAATTCAAATTTCTGCCTTGAATTCAAACAATAACCGCTGGTTGTCATGCTACCAAGGTGACTATGTAAGTACCTAAAATATTATATTATACTTCAAGAGAATCGTGAATTTCTTCATAGAATTAAAATTGGTAGTAATCAACCAATATTTTCAAAATGTAAACAACTGTCAAGAACGAACAGTAAAAGTATTGTTTTTCACCCGTAAACATTATGTTTTTCATTTGTAAACATTAAAGAAATTATCACTCGAGATTGATTATATTTTTCAATTATTTACAAAGAAAATCAAATACTTTATAATAATGGAAATGAATTAATGTTTTTCGCTTTTTTGATTTTATTTAAAAACTAGTTTTTAATTTATAAATCTGATAAAAGCACTTTAAATAATTATGGGTAATTTTGAAACTAAAAAGTAGAATGTTTTTGTTGAATGTTTTATTTAAATTTATCCAGTATGCCATTACTAATCAGAGATAAAATGGGAAGAAGAAAAGAGAATACTAGCATAGAAAGTTTGTGATGAAATTTCATTGACATCTTTTCAGTTTGTCGTCTCACAAGGTTAAAGTAGTAGGGATCTTAGAGTAAAACTCACTTATTATAGAAATTAATAAAAGTAGTAATGCTTATTCTGTATATCGTGTTATTTATTCAATTCAATTATTTATCCCCCTTTATTATCATGAAGATTATTAGTAATAAAAAAAGTAATTATAGAAATGCGCCTCAAAGATTTAATACAAAAGATGGCGTACACGACATTTACACATATGTATATAAGTATGTGTATATGTATATACGTTTATGTTTTACATCTGTCACTATGTGTGTGTATGTCGCATATATGGCTCTGCTTCCAATCGTATATCAATAAGTTAAAAGTCCAATTATGCGTAAAGCAATTATTTTACACAAATATATTTATCTTTAACATAATCTCCTTTCTTGACAACATTCTTGTGTTAGATCGAACATTTTACAATGAAAATTAAGACCAAAATTCAGCGAATATGGGAATCAGGTTACAGACTTATTGATCCACCTTATATGACATGTACACAGTGTACCTGGTTTTGTCTGTTTTACGTCCTTGCCTCAAAAATAAAGAAGGCAATTGACAGTACGTGATAAAACAGATAAAATCTCTCACCACTCCAGCATAGACGGTTTGCTTTTTGTTATTCATTCTTTAGATTTTTTATTTTTCATTCTTCAGATTTTTTGTTTTGTTTTTCATTCTTTAGATTTTTTTTTTCATTTATACTTTTACTTATCTTTTGTTTTATTCAATTTTTCACGTTTGTTTTCTTTCATTTTTATCTCGTCCGTTTTTCTTTCGCTGAAAGATATAGTCGAACAAATAACACAATGAACTCATAAAGAATTCATTGTGTTATTTGTTCGACTATATCTTCTCGGTTAATTTTTCCTTTCTACGAATTGATTTCTATTTTTTTTACCGTTTGCTTCTTATTTCCTTTTCAACGTATACTATTTAATTGTCTTTTTTTTTTTTCAGGTTTTTCCACATTTTTCTCTTCCCTGCTTTGATTGACGTTCATTTTCATTCTGTCAGTTTTCATTCTGCCAGGCGATTAAAAAAGAAGCAGAGACTTTCTCTCAGCCTATTTAAATATCACCCGAAGCAAACATGACAAAAGCGCTCATCAGCTTTATACTAATGTAGGTACTTCCACTTGCTAGCTGAAAAAACAGCATAGCATGAAGAAAAAAAGGCCCCAAACTTAATAAAAACAAAGTTTTATCGGCAAAATGTTTATGTTATTATTAAAAGGAAAGTTTATGTTTATGTTATTATTTTATTAAAGTTTATGTTTATGTTATTATTTTATTAAATTTTTTAGTCATTTCTGGAACGTTCGAAATTTTTGGTTAAAAATCTTGCTTTTTTACGTCAGCGGTCTACGTAATATTTATGATTAGTATTTTAACGCCTTTTTTCAGGTGAAAAACATTTTGATTGGGAAATTCTTGCAAAAATCAAATAATTGTTGGATTTAAATAAAACTTTCAGGACTTATTCACAAATGAATGAAATTATTTTTGATTCTTTTGCATTAAACTTATTTAATTTCATGAAAATGAAATTTCGAGAAATCAAATTTATCGTAGAACTTTTTTTTATCAGTTAAAAGCAGGACTCCTTGGGGAATGTAAATCTTATTTTTTTTCAAACTACTAGTCATTTTCCGAAAATCTGCTCTGAATCGTAAAATAAGAAATGCACTAAACTATGCCGTTATTTATTTAGAAAAGCATTTAATTGCTTTTATAAATAAGATTTAAGAAAAAAAGTAAAAATTTTCGATGAATAATGAATGTTTACAAGAATTGTTTTCGTTTTTTAAAATTTTAATTATAATAATTTATAATAGAAATCGTTTAAAATTCTGCATTACTTCAATCCGGTTAGGTGATATTGTTATTAAGCGAAAGTTATATTTATGAACCAAAAATTGAAAAGCTTAATAAAAGTCGTTTTACATCAAGATTTTTAAAATAATTTTTAATTTTTTATGTATATAAAATATTACGTAACGTGCCCCTGTTTGAAGGTATGGTCGATCATACGCGACGTTATCAGAAAATAAGAGCGATGACTATTTCATTTAAAAGTAAATTTAAAGTCGACATTTCTAAAATTAGATTACAGAGAATAATTTTCAACATTTTTAAGATTACTCGTTATTTAAAAATTATATAACAAAGCCGCTCACCCGTCATTTTCTTAAATTATGTTTTAACAGATAAAGTCTCCGCAGAATAACATTAAATGTGTTGGCACTTTTATCATCACTTGTTGAGTGATCTACGAGTGACAAGCGCTTAATGAAAGCTACTGTTTGTTTTAAAAATCATTTCTAAAATATAATCTAATATTCTTTAAGTAAAGTTTCCTTAAAGTTTCAGAAAAGTATTTTTTATTTTTAGAAGATATTTAAAAACCGCGAATTAACTTTTGTTTACAAATATGTCAAAAATAGCCATTTTTAATGATTTTCTGATAGCGACCAAAAATTTGAGATTCCAATTAATATAATTTAGTAGTTTGCTTACTGGAAATAGTAAATTTAATCATTTAGCTTTCAATTAAAACTAAAAAGAAAACTTCAAGAATGATTTTCATTTTTAAAAAATCATTTTAAACTTTAAGGTATCAAAAATTAGTGGAGGTGCATATACTAATGAATAATACAGCGCGTAAAAAAAAAAACAATAAAAAGGTGCAGTAAAGAATAATTGGTGTTCTTGAGATCATTAAAATATCCGTAGTTATAAATAATGTCAAGCACAGTAAATGCAAAATTGCAATGGTCAATAAAAATTACAAGGAAATAAAAAGAGAAGACCAGATTTAGTAGAAGAAACATGCCAGTAGATTTTGACATTACGGCAGAGCACATATCCGAGGTGAAAAGATAAATAAATACCTTGAACAACCTTTCCTGAAAAATTGTGGAAAATGAAGATGACAGTCTTTATAAAAAAGCTGCGAATGGTACCGAAGAGCCTGGGAAAAACCAGCCGAACTAGAAATCAAGGGAATAGTTGGAACCATTTGTACGACGGCATTGTTGAAAACAGAATACTTAGAAGAGTGCTAGAATATTTAGGAGTCTTTCTGTCATTTAAACTCTAGTGTAGCTTACCAGGTATAAATGGTGTGAATATTCAATGAGTAAATAATGATAATATTTATGTCAATATTCAAATGTATTGCACATTAACGATACAATTGCCTAACAGAAGTAAGGATCCTGGAATAGAATACAAAGGGTAAGAAAATTTTGACTAAAGAAGACGGTCAAACTGGAACAATTGTAAATAATTACAGGTCTATGAAGTGCTGGCTTCTAACTGGAAAAATCATAACAGAATATACTGCGAAGAAATTACTCTTGTCAAGAAAGTCGAGGAGTTATATTTAAGGAATCGAAAACTGCGGTAAAGAATTCAGAGAAAAAAACTAACCTATTATTTAAACCGTGTTTGCTGACTCGGTCACGTCCTGAGAAGACCACTCTACCAGTGTCATCTACCAGTTGGAACTACCATCTGCAAACTAGTGACAAACTTGCAGCAGACCATACAGCCGCTGGAAGGATGTCGTCTGCCAGGACCTCCAGCAGATTATTCTGGTGTTGGAGGATATTCTGATTCTCTGCCAAGACCGAGCTGGAGAGGCAAACTGTCTCTCGTAGGCTCAACGCCTTCATGGCTTGAGATTTAGCAGTAGCAGCAAATTGTGAAAGAAGTTAAAAGAAAGCATGGTAGAATTAAAAATAAATAAATACAAATGTTACGACATAATCTAACAATCCTGGATATGAGAATGAATAAGTATGCTAAAACATTTCCAAACATAATGCAATAGAAAACACTGTATAACTGCAGTTGACGTTAACATAAGAAGAGGCAATTTTTAGCCCTATAATTTTTCGGAAAAAATTTTAAATTTACATGTCTGCCTTTTGCAGACATGTAAATTTAAAATGTCACTGGAAAAGTCATTCACTTATATTAAGTGAATGACTTATATTAAGTGAATTAAACATTTTTACCAAAATTAAAAGAAAAATCGAAGACAGGATCTTCAGCCAGGATAAGACAATGGGATTAAGACATAGAATACGCAAGGCAGATTGAGTGAGTGCGAGTGCTTTTAGTGCGGATGATATATAGTTGTGTAACATATTGTATATTTTAAAAGATAGATATCACCTAGGTTCATATGGATCATGTCCAAGGACATCAGTGTTAAGGAACGACATTTCAAATGTCCAACATTAAAAAGTAGAAAAACACTGAACAAGTATAAAATAAATTTTTTGTCAAATGCGATTACCAACAATTGCAAGTCATTCAGACATAAAAGTATAGGAGGGGAAAATCCTACTCGTAAGAAAATTTAGTTTTACACACTGGAGTTTGTTATGCTGTTTCATTGATTTTTTTTTAATTTAAAACTGTCAATAATTTTTAAAAAGTGTGCAGTTGTAAACTTATGTGTGCACAAATACGTTTTTGCGCGTGTATGTATGTGTACGCTTGTGCATATGTGCGTGTTAGACAGTCAGACAAGTCAGACTCAGTGGAGAAATGTATTTCTTTGTGAAGACGTGTGTGCAAGGGTTTTTGCATGGATGTGAAAGCGTGTTTACTAAAGAAAGTATAAAAGTATAAATAAGTTCGTGGTTGTTTATAAATCAAGTTTAGTGAGATATTTTAACAGTGGGTCAAACTTTTGCATCAGTTTTCTACTGTTTTCAAAGTAATGATGAACAAAACATTTTTACCTGTTTCAAATGACAAGTATCTTAAAGCTCTAAAACTTGAACATACGATTATATTAACCAAAAATTTGAAATAGGAATTTATAATTAATTACTGTATGAAACAATGAATTCTTAAAAATTTGATACTGTAAACCTCTGCGACAAAATGGAAAAGTTGAGTTGAAGAGAAATAATCGGATAGTGAGATATCATTGATAAAAATGAAAGAACCAATAGATAAGTACAAAGTAAAAAAAAATGATGCAAAAATTTATAACAGATTTTAGGAAAATCTTTTATTCATATCAATTCATAGGATTATTATTAGCTATCAAAGTATTTTTCTTGACTTTCTACAACCTTACACCACCTTTCAGGCATAGTTTGAACTATATAAAACTATCATAAAAGAGTGATTCCAATTTTGATTTGATAAATTCTTCGGGGAATTTTTTCTTGAATTTATTAGAACCAAGGAATGTTGCATGCAGCGAAACATGTATCAGGTTTGGAATTCTTTAGACCTTATTTACGCCACATGTACAAAAACTAACCATCCCCGCATCGCATTTGCAACTCGAGGGCAGGTATCACCGATTAACTTTTTTGCTCAGAAAAAGGAGGCTTTTTTGTTCTAACACGCCAATCAAACGAATCAACTGAAAAAATTGTTGCGTTGTTTGGTAGCAGTTTGTTCCGTATTATATATTAATTTATTTGAATTTATGTCCTCATTTTGGTTGTTTTAGTAATTATCTAACAATTCGAATTCAAAAATACTCCGTGGAATGCTCCAAACATGGATATTTTTCTGTTTAGTTGAGATGTTGAAGGCCGTTTTGGATTTAGCTACATCGTTTTCCATTTTGAATTCTTGCCATAAATCAATTTTTCATCTAATGAAAAAATGAATTTTTTCGTCGATCAAGAAGGGAAAACAATAAGGTTAACTAATATTCCGTTCTGTAAGTTCACGTGGAAGCCATTTTCCTAGTCTCTGAATGTTTCGGTTTCCCAAGTAATACAGAATTGAGTAAAGTTTAAAGATTTTCCTAACATTGTTCAAGTGATGGTGCTGGAAATGTTTGTACCAAATTAATAAAAAGAATAGAATAATAATAAAAAAAAAAAGAATAGAAGAATAAATTAATAAAAAGAATCGAAACCATTTAGTAAAAGGACAGATAAATATAAAAAGGAAAGCAAAGATTAAAAAAATAATACAGAAGGAATAAAAAAATAAATAAAAGGAATACTGAAAGAAAGGTGTGTCAGATGTAAAGTGAAAGGCAATAAAGAAGGAAATAAAGAGAAGCATTAGAGAAAGTTATTGGATTAGCAACAAGGAAAAGCATGCATGGACTCACAAGAGCAGTTCCCTGGCTGTGGGTGGCGGACGGCTGGGTCGTCGCCGGAAGGAAGGCGACGAGGGTTCGCTGTCGAACTTGGCCAGATGTCTGGTACTGTCGTCCTCACAGTCTTGCCCGATCCCTGCTAACGAGAAATAGACACTGCTTAATTCCAACGTCGAAGAGGAACGCTGGCTCCCGCCTCGATCTGCGCTTCCCCGCTTCCGGTCACGTGGCCCGTCACAATCTTGCAGCATCCCTGCTAACAGAAAGATAAATCCTACAATCATGGCCAACAATCTATTAACACACATACACACACAGAACACGAATTGCACATCAGTGGCGTCTCGACGGGTGACAAAATTCTCTTATTGTCCTCTTTGAAAGTTGTGGGCATCATTTAGAAGATTTCACAAGTTTTACCATGTATCACATTGCAAATATAATGAATATGATGAATGATATGAAAACTTTTGGTTAGGCGCAATATGATACATGGCCAAAAATTAGCGACTATTTGTCTCCTATTTATGACTGACATTTTGATATTATTTTCCGAGAAGAGAACGAAAAACGATTATACGGTTTTAGAAATGATCTTTGGTCATATTAAATATAGTGAGTGTAGTATTTGTCAGTTAATATTGATGTTTATTCATAATGAACTGCTTCATTTCCATAAGGGTTTATTGACTGATTTTCATGGTCGAAGAAAGTGTTCAATGTACTGGCCAAGAAAAAGCAATGCTTTTAGCAAATATCATAATTACAAATTTGTTCATTATCTTAAAATGATTAAATGAGATTTTTCTTTATTGCTTATGATAGAGTAGCGCTCTAAACAGAAATACGTATTTTTCTACATGGGCTGCAAATTTGTTCAACTGAATTTTGACAGACCAAAATCATATTTTATTATTAAATCCTAAATATCAACTATTTTTACAGAAAAGATCTTTGAGAAGTAATAGTAGGCAACACATGAAAATAAAACAATTGAACGTAAGAAATTTACTAAATTAAATAGCTTGTCCTTATTTTATTAATGTAAGCCGCTGAAATGACTTTTATAGCAGGTTTTTTGAAACATGGAACCATTTTGAATTCGGAAAAAGTAACTACGGGTTTTGTAGTTCAGAATCACCCAGAAGATGGAAGGAATCGCTCCTTTGTCGTAAATTGCGGTCTGATGATTTTTTTTTTATTATAAAGATTCTGTTATAAAGATACGTAAGTTTGATTATAACAACGAAAGACTAATCAACTCAAACTATTCAGCTAAAAAAAAAAAAATGTTAAAATCGTTTTTTGTACTCAATTTTCTTTTGTAAACAAAAATGTCATTACCATAAATGCATGAAGCAGTGGAGACAATTGTGAAACGGGAAAAATAATGACCCAAATGATTTTTTTTTATTTTGTTTATGACTCTTTGTAGAAGATAGAAATTGAGTAATATCTAAACCTGATGAATTAATGCCATCAAGAATAGACGGAGTATGAGAAAGTATAATTATTTCGTGACTTGATTGTTCTTAATGAAGTAATGTACATCATAAATGTAAATAATCGATAACTGTTCAATATATCAGTCAATCTCGCAGTTGAATTTGAACTCTCATCTCCATTCTGGCAACACAACACGGAGTAATACATAATCTGATGTACATTAAAATATCTGTAGTTGTCGCGAAATGATCATTCTTGTATAATTAATGATGTTTCTTATGAAGTTGTGTGAGAATTTATATTTATTAAAACACATTTATTATTACTTAGAAAAGAGTCAGTAGATTTTCTTGTCGCTAATCAGAGATGCCAAACAATTCATACGAAGTATCAAAGAATTCATACTAAGTATCAAAGAATTCATACTAAGTATTACAATGGAAATAACAGGACATAAATATGTAAATAAACTCTGTATACGAATTGTGCTGAAAATGGCGTATAATTACGATCCAAGAAGTTCGTCAATTCTACTTCATTATCTTTATTTATTATTTAATACAAGTTTCAAATGATAATATTTAATTTTTATGGTGTACTAATGTAAAGTCTTAAATTGACGCGAGTCAAACTATACTGGCTGTTACAATATGTTACAGTCAACAGGAAACTTTATCCTTATAAAAGAAACGATAACAAAAGAAAGTGTACAATTGAAAAACTCCCTGGATCTTTATTAGACACACTTTTATTAAGTTTTCTTTTTTTTCTAAGAAGACAAAAGTTATAATAAAAGTCAAAATAAACTATAATAAAAATAAGGGTAAAACCAAACTGTAGTATAGTAAAAAATAATAAAGAGAACTATTACAACATACACTTTTTGCTACTGAACTACAATTTCTATAACAAATTTCTATAACTACCACTTTCTACAAGTAGAGTAGCTATTAACCATTCGGTGATTACATTTGTTAAAATTGGTGCTATGATTGGTATTTAGAGTTTACATAGTGAAATATAAAGAGAGAAAAATTAGTTATAATCAATATAAAGTATTGTTTAAAGTGAGAGAATGCATTGTATTTCATATATGGAGCTATTTTCTATTGTGAATATCCGTTCAACCAATTGCTAATAATTCATTGTCATTCAGCTCTAAGGAGGAAATAGTAGGAACCAATGAATTTCGTTAGGGTGACGAAGGTGTTTGTAAGAAATTGCTGACAGCAGGTGTGCTTTGTAGTTAGGACAATGTCAAACGGTTATTCGATTTAGAACTGAATGAAAATCATTATATATACAAAAAGAATGGCATTTGTATTGAGTTATAGGACATAGCAATCTAATTAAAATAATTGCACTGGGATAACCTTGAAAATAGTTAACTCTTGAATATTGAAAACAGATCCCTGTTAACCCTAAATCTAGTTCTTTCGTAAATGTTAAAGAAAAAGGAAATATTATAAGCATTATTAAATCTGTTGAATATAAAAACTTAGGAATATAAAAAATGTAAATTCGTAGTAAAGAATGAAATAAGACTTCGAGATGATGTTTGATAGAATATTAAATCTTTAAAATAGACCAGGTTTTAAATGCAAAAAAAGTACAGTAGACAGTGCCATATTTTATTCCCTGCATTGTTTCCGATGTTTGTAAAATGTTCAGGATAAACTTATATTTGCATGATAAATATACCATGTGATTTTTAGTTTATAACATTTTTTTTAATTTCAGACATATAAACATTGTCATTGGTCGAAACCTCAAAAAGGAGCAGAACGCTACAAGTAAGTGATTGATGGAGACACAACGCTGAAAATTACGAAATCATTGAACAGAGATCATGGAATAGTAAAAATTAAAACATTGGTAAGATGTTAAAATATTAAGAAAAATAGACTTAAGAATGTCACAAAAAGAGTTATGAAAAAATGTAAAAAGGAACAACAAAAGTGGATTAACCAACACGAGGCTGGTGTTATGAAAGTAAACAGAAAGAAAGATGCAGAAGATGAAGAAAATCGTCTAAAATATGAAAACAACAAAAGTGACATCATTAAGTAAACATCACAAAGAGAAATGTATAAAGCGAAAATTGATTTTTCAAATAATGTTTATCGATGACTGTAGAGTTAAATTAGTTGGGATCTTCATGGAAATAATCAGGTGATATGACTTAAATGACAACAGAAGATAAGTGGAATCATTTTTGTAATAGTATTGTAGGCAATAAAATTATACGTCGTTGAAAAGTTGATTACTTTATCAAGATAAATATAGAGAATTATTGAACATTTTTATGTGGTTTAGGTCACAAAAAGGCTTTAAGCTAAAGAGTATGTTCCTGCAAGACACTGCTCTTTCACATTCTGCAAAATTAACTATTGCTCACTCTACTAAAATTGTTTTCAAAGACGCTAAATGAATGCAATTACTCTCCAGTTTCCGCAAATATCAATGCAATAGCAATGTTGTGGTCCATCATTAAAGGGCGATATATAACGAGAATAAGAAATCAAACCTGCTGCAAGCAATATTAAAGTGGAAACAGTAGAAAAGTTAAAATCAATGAATGAAATAGTGATGAAGGTTATAGAATGTTAAGGAGCTCATACTGGTATGTAAAATAATAATTTATTTAAGTATATTGGATACTGTGTTAATCAAATATATGTTTCTGTGGCCTATACTTTATTTATTTATAAATAAATCTAAAAAAATATGACATTTAGTGACCTAATCTCAAACTCCGAATGACTTAACATTAAAACAGAAATATGAAAAAGATAGATATTATAAGTTGAAACTCCTATAAACGTTAGTATATCCAGGAAATTTGACTAATATCTGTTGGGCAATGCACATTTTATTATGAAAACTTTCACTAGCATGATAATATCTAATAGCGAAAATCGTCAAGTAAGACCAATAATAATAATAATAATAATAATAATAATAATAATAAACAATATTTTTAAAATTTGTAAGTATTGTTTTTCTATTTTAGTACTGGAGATTAATTTCTCTTCTTAAGATTTTCACTGAAAATATTTTGATTATAGTTAATATTTAAACAGTTTTATTTTTTCTATCATTAGAAAATTTGTTGAAACCTTGTAATAATAACAACAAAGACGAAAACAGTAATATGACCGTAATTAAGGTAAATAATAATAACTTCTCATCTGAGAAATGCTGACAAAAATTATATTCTTGGAGTCAGTTCTTTCATCTCTTTAAGATTGGACAAGAAGACTGAAGGAAGAAAACATTCATTTTTAAAAATGAGTTTTTTTCTGTTGCTGACACAAGAAAATCTCCTACGTGTTCGATTAAAGTTTTATAAAATAACTGAACTTGATATCAAGCACATAAGCTTACACTTATTGCATTCTGGATTCTTTTGTATATTTGCAACCAGTATGTTAACGCCAAATAATTCTTCATATCTACATCGCAATTCGTCATTTGAAAGAACTTCATGCAAAAGAGGATATTTCTTATCGTCAAAGCAAGGTTGGGCTGACAGAAGTGAGATCCGATGTCCTATGAGAGGACAGATTGCTACTCTTAGCTCGTAAAATGAGAAAACGTCACGGATGTGGCTATGAATTTAAAATAAACAATCTCACAAGCGCTTCTTTCTTTTCTGTTAACCAAACATGCATTAGTGATAACAGATTAAAAATAAGTAGCAGCATGAGCGCATGTTGATTTGAAATGATATCATAATATATTTCTTTAACTATACATTTTATGTCTATTTATTGATATGAGTTATAATATTTATAAAAATAAATATTTAAGAAATTAGAGCAGAAGTGTCAAAAAG